CCTAAACATTAATTATTTATATTTTAGAAGAAGAAAAAAAATTATTTATTGAAACGTTAACTCGATATCTTAAAAGAAGAAAAATTATTTTTTAAAAATTATTTTGACTTGATGAGTTCAGTTCCCGCTCCTACATATCCCCAATGCAATGGAGAACTCAAAGTTACATAGTTCTATCCAAAAATTACAAAACTGGTTGATTAAAATTAAGTGTAATAAAAGAAAATTTATTTTGAAAGTAAAATTATTTTTATAAAATTAAATGTTTAGGATACAAGATAACGCAATTATACATGTACTATACGAGAAACAATACAGATAGTGAAGGAAGATCACACAATTATATTACAAATCGATAAAAATATTTTATTTATAAATGAAGTATTTAGATTTTAATTTTGATTATGATTAATGTTGAAAGAAATTTAAGATCCTATAAACTATACATAAATTTCTTATAATTTATTGGACAATTAAAGACAATGTAAATCGCACATCAATATTGCAAAAATTTGTATAGTAAAATGAAGGAATAATTGGTTATTTAATTTATCAAAATTTGAAATATGACTTTTAAAAAATGGAATTGATTCTATTTAATAAAATGAATAAATATATTTAAATTAATTAAAAAATAGTTACTTAATAAAAAGATTATAACTTTATTTGATAAATTTATATTGCATAGAACTTAAAGTAATGTTGGTACACAAAAGTCTTAACGATTTAAAGTATATAAAGGTAAAGATTAGGGATGGCAATGGGTAAAGTACTCAATGGGCACCCGCAAAATTTACCCACAATGGGTAGGGTATTTACCCACTATATGGGTACAGGTATGGGTGTGGGTAAAAACCCGCAAATTTTAATGGGGATGGGTGCGGGTATGGGTATCTAAGTACCCACCCCGCCCCATACCCGCATATATATATATATATATATATATATATATGCTTGAAATTTATTCTACAATTATGCATTGAATTTTTGTATTATTATATTACTTATTTGAAGTTATATAAGATTAATATAAAAATATATTTAATAATAAAATAAACCAAAAAATTTATTTTGGTTTACATTTTTAATAGAAAAATTTATTTACTATTTTATATCATTTAATTAGGCTAACACAATTTAATTATTACATAGTTAATATAAGATTGACTTTTTTTAAAATATTATTTATATATGACACACATAAAATATTTTTTACACAAATATTTTTGTTAATAAAATTATATTGATGTTTAAATCATAAAGTGAATGATAAATAATAAATATTTCATAAATTTTACAATCACTTACTATTACAGTAAATTTATTATTTATTAATAATATTTAAATTTTAGTTTTATATTTTAATTTAAAATAATATTTTTCTATATAACATATGTATTACAAGCACAACTATAATCTATTAAATCTAAATAATATTATTCTTACTATTTATTCACATTCAAAGAAGTTTTTGAAAAGATATAAATATAAAAAATTATTATTAATTTTTATTTGTTAATTTTTTTAAGATAAAAAAGTATAATTTTTTTAATATACACGTATATTTCTTTATTATAAAATTTTATTGTAACTATTTATCTTTTATTCAAATTCATTTTTTTAAAATTTATATACATTATAAATATTTAATTCACTAAAATAATTTTTCAAAAATTTATATTTTTGATAAAATACTTTCGTATAGTATATGAGTTAAAAAATATTAGTATTAATATATATATATATATATATTAATTATATTATATTATTTTAATTAAATCTATTATTTTTCTTACAATTTCAAATTCAAAAGTTAAAAAAAAAATTTATGTATCAGCTTTCTGTTATTAGTATTGAACTTCAATACTTTAACTCTATTCTCATTCTCAATGTCTGTCTCACTAAAACTTAATAACTATGAAATATTATTCATTAGAGTTAGTTGTTAATGTCATCACAAGAGGTTACTAAGTGATCCCACACGAAGGGACAACCATTGTATAGATCTATTTCGTTGTCGTTTTGACATTACCAACAATCAAATCTCACACAAGATGAAATTATCACTGACAAATAACTTGTGTGTTTAGTTTTTGCTTATTGTTTCTAAGAATTTTAGTTTAGAAAATTATTATATTAAGATACATTTAGCATTTATGATCTTTGAATATTTATTTTTTTATCTATATTTGTACCTTGTTCGGCAACTACATATTAAATTTTTGTATTATTATGCTACTTATGTGAAGTTATATAAACATATTTTTTTTTATAAATATTTTTTTCTCAAACAAGCGCGGGTAATGGGTACAAGACGGGTATGCGGGTACCCAGAGGGTACGGGTACGGGAATTAATGTTTATACCCATGCGGGTATGGGGCCGGGTATGGGTATTTTTTTAAAACGCGGGTATGGGGATGGGTACTGTAGTACCCTACCCATTGCCATCCCTAGTAAAGATGTTGCACAATAATACTATAAATCACTACATTAATATGATAATAATAATAATAATAATAATAATAATAATAATAATAATAATAATAATAGATTAATTTTAGAAATCAAATAAAACTATTAATTTATTAATGGTATATAAAACTTAAGGTAACGTTGATATATATAGATTTTATAAATTTATAATACATGACCACAGAGAAGCAGTATGTTAGTATTATAAATTGACGCAAATGTTACACTCTTTATTTGTTTAAAAATATAATTTATTAATCACGAAATAAAAGATCAAAACATGAATATAAAATTTAATTACATCAATCCTTCTAAAAATTAATACAATAAAGTAAAGGATAATACCAAAGACAAATAACTCAAATACATAAATATGCTGAATATAAACAATAACACAATAATTATTATATGAATTTTATTTTCATATTATTTATTTTGACATAAAATTTATTTATTTACCTATTTTTTAGATTTAGTTGGCTAAACCTAATAATTTTAAAATAATAATAATAATAATAATGAAAATAAATAAAATAAAGATAAGAAAAGTTTTAAACTAAATCAATACTAATCTTAGTTTAAATTTTTTCTTTTTTAGAGTCTCATTGCATCTGGTTGCACCACAAGATAAAAAGCAAAAATAAAAATAATAACTAAAAAACCACAAAGAAAAAAAAGAATAAGAAAAAAAATAAAAAAATTATGATTCAATCACATTACAGACTATTATCCTCCCGCTCCCTACAAATCCCATTAAATGCTATCAAATGTTTAAAGGCATAAAATAATGCCAGAAAAGATGAAACTTTATCAAGTAGGTAGCGTAAAACGTATTGCATTTCATAAATGCTTCTGCGTAGGTCAATCAACATCGCATCCCATTTTCTATTCTTTTCATTTGAAAGTAATAATAATATAAAAGAAAAATGAAGACTTATCAAATATCCGTGACTCCTTGTTTTTACCATTCATTTTCTATTCTATCTCTCTCATTTTGAAAAGGCTCGAGAAATATTTATATGAATATGGGTTTATGAATAATGACCATACCTGAGAAGATTAAGAGGTTTTCGGATGTGAACAACACTCAAGGATGATGAATAGCTAGAACAATGTTATTTCTTTACTCTTTTTTTGCTTGATTTCTTTCTCTATTTCTTTTTTGTTTTCTCTGATTTCTTCTAAATATGTTTGTCTCCTAGAAATTTTTCTTTCTTCCTGAAAACTTGTTGCGTTTTTTAAAAAAAATTTGCTCATTTCTCTCAAATTTTTTTGAAATTTTATTACTATTTCAAATCTTTGCTCTCTTTTTTTGAAAAAACTTCGTACCTTTTTTCTTCAAAAGGAAAATAAATCTCCTTGCCTCCAGGTCTTCCATTTTCTATTTATATTGGTCTTCATTTTATGCTTTTAGAGTTTTACAAAACGTCAAAAATTTTGAATTTTTTCCTTTCTCATGCTTAAAGCACAACTAGATGTTGGGTACAGAACTGTACACTGCAAAATTTTTGTTTTGGGAGGGCCAAACTTATTTCCTAAGTTTTCATTTTTTTTTTTTGTAAAATAATATTTTATGCTATAAAAATTTGAAAGCAACCGTGGTAAAGAAGAAGAAAGAAAAAAGAAAAAAAAATGGTATTCACATTTTAGAAGAAATTTATGTTTTTGAAACTTGATAGGATTAAATTGAAGGATTTTTAAAGTTGATGTACTAAAATTGACTTGGGCGAAATTCGTGAACAAGCATTAAAGGTATAGATATCATGCAGGTGACAAACCACCATATGAAAAATCACACAATAGTGACAACATCATTCCCTTGATGGAGATGCTATGCAAGAGCTAGTTGTGATTAGTTGTGATGTTGTCCATCCATGGATTTTTGCCAAATTTTCTATCTCAAAATATAAGATCTTGTTCTTGGAGAAGTTCTGCCCCTGTAACTGTGGTTGGATTGCCTAGTGAAAAACAAAGATAGTGAACAATGAAGACCCATTATTAACAGAAACAAGGAAAATACAACATTACGTTTCCAACTGTATGACCCATTGTTAATAGAAACAAGGAATGCACATTACATTTCCAAATGTATGACCCATTGTAAGTGTTGTCACCATTCACCAAAGTCATTTCAATGGACGTTCTTTAAGGATTAGGAAAGGCATTAAGGAAAGAATTAAACAACTTAGTGAGTTAACATTCTTTACAGACATCAAAAAGTCCCAACTCTAGTAAGTTCTAATATATACATAAATTTTTTTGGAATTTGCGAAAGAAAATTCTACTAAAAATGTGAATCTCCATAAATCAACTAACTTTTCTCCAAAGAAATCACAATTTAAAAAATAAGAATATGCTATCTCCTAAACCCAAAGATTAAAAGGAACCAATTTTCAATTGGGTGTGGGTGTATTATAGTCGTGTGCATTCATGCTGTTAGGAAATTACTTTAGGCTTCAAACATGTGCACATAGTATTTGTATTTCAGTTGTGTGCATACATGCTATTAGGAAATTACTCTAGATTTGGGTTGTGGGTTTGTTACTGCACTGGTATCTAACTATGCATTGGTGGAGTATTAGCAAACTTCCACGTGCACCGCATAAAAGGCTCAATAGTTCGATCTCCAACCACCTCGGATCTCGGTATCGCCTCTGCAATTTCCCTCAAATCAGCGTTGCTGAGCTTAACTTTGAATGAACCGATGTTGTTGTCAAGGTTTTTTATTTTTGTTGTTCCTACAAAACATGAGGTTCAATAAGAATGTTGTCCATAGGTTAAAACTTCTATGAGATTGAAAGCTCCAGAGATGTTTCTGAACTTGACAGTAAATACATAAATTACGGGCGAAGCCCATCAAGACTTAGCCAATGAGGTATGAAAAATCTTAATCAAAACAATATTAAAGGAATTGAAAAGAATGCATTACACGCCCTCTCGCTATAAACTTCTTATGCCAAAAATTCAAGACCTTTCTCTACCTATTTTCTGTTGTTTAGGACCAAAATTTATAGCGCTATATACTATTATTCTGTTTCTACCCTTTACATATAGAACATAGTCTTCCCTAGTATATGTTTCATAAGACAAATCTATATGCATTTTGGTTAATCCATATGATTTCAGAACAATTTATATGTACGTATACTTATGTTACTTGCAATATATTTATGAATATTCAAGGAGTTGAAGTTTATGCTTTTGAAATTTGGTGGTTATAAATTGAAGGATTTTGAAGTTGATGCATTAAAATTGACTTGGCAAAAGTCGTGAATAAGCTTAATAATAATATCATGCAGGTGACAAAATGAAAAAACCACTCACCAGGGATGGGTACCACATCGTTCCCTTGATGAAGAAGCCATGCAAGAGCAAGTTGGGGTGTTGTGCATCCATGCTTCTCTGCTAATTTCTCTATCCTAAAATAAAAGTTCTTGTTCTTGTCGAAATTCTGCCCCTGGAACCTTGGCTGCACTGCCTGATGAAAATGGACTTGGGTGAACAATGAAGGTTTTTTATAATTGTGTTTATTAGAAACAAGGAAAATAACGCATCATTTCCAAGAGTATGACCCAATTATAGGCTTCGTACCAGATAACTATCTGCAGATATATTTTCTTTGATTGCCTTACCAGCAAAAAATCCTTTGCCAAGGGGACTGAATGGCACTATTCCAATTCCAAGTTCCCTGTAAGTGTTTTCACCGATCTCCAAGTAAGACACATGCATGATTTACTTCTTGCAAGAATAAATCTAATTAAGCTTTCTTCTTTCATAACTTTTTATATACGTTAAATTTAATTCAACAGTTAGACTAATTTCCATTAAGAATTTCATACAATTTAAACATTTTAATACTTTGATCAGACAACTCCAAGATTATACACTTATGAATATTTAATTTATTTAATGCATTAACTCTCAATTTGATCCTTCAAAATGCATCACTACATTAGTCTTTAAATTTTCAATCATTAAATTAGTCTCTCAAAATTTACATGAATGACATCCCCTTAAAATTTTTTTATAGGTTTTTCATCAATCTATAAACTTTTATAGAGAACTAACGAAATGATTAAAAAAATAATGATTTGAAGATCAAATTTTTAAAATATTACTGTAATAAAGTTACTTTAGAGAAATAAATTAATTTTTTTTATTTAAAATTTTAAATACATAATTATCAAAATGCAAGGATTATATTTATAAAACCGGTATTATACACACAGTGGGGTACCTTGCAAACGGCATAGAATAGAACATACCTGCAAAGTGGAACAAGTTCATCTTCAATTTCACGAGACCAAAGGGACCACTCCATTTGCAAAGCAGTAATAGGATGGATGGCATGGGCCCTCCGAATTGCGTCAGGACTAGCTTCCGACAATCCAATGTATTTAATTTTTCCCTCTTCCACCAACTTTTTAAGCTCTCCCATCTATTCATCCAAGCATAGAAGAAAAGTAACCTCACCATCCAACATTTAACTCATCCAAATAAAACTATGAACATCAAAGTCTGATTGTATAACTCACAGTTTCCTCAATGGGCACCGTTGTGTCAATGCGGTGCGGATAATAGAGATCAATGTATTCCACACTAAGGCGGCGTAGGCTAGCTTCACAACAGGATCGAACATATTCAGGATCACCTCTTACTATCACATTATTTGACTCCACTTTCACAATGCCAAATTTTGAGGCAAGCTGAACTTTATCTCGTGGCAACTCTTTCAATGCCTAAGAATGAAGAGTAAGTGTTATTAAGTCACTTTCCCATGATTGAATTAGTTACTATTTACGTGGGACAACAATGAATGTGTTTAGATAATAATTTAATTATAAGTTCGATCATAAAACTTGAAAAAAACTCTCCTTAAATTTTCTAACGTAGTCTGAAATATATATTTGTATAATATAATATACCTTTCCCACCATAACTTCATTAGTTTTGGGTCCATAAAGGTCAGATGTGTCAAAGAATGTGATTCCCTTGATGAATGCATCCTTAATTAGTGAAATAACAATATCTTCAGGAAGAGGGGCGTCAAAGACTCCACTGAGGCCTGCACAACCAAATCCCAACTTGGAAACCTATAAAAAGAAGTGATGAGCATGAGAAAATATGATTGCATCTATGAAAAAGTTGATGTCAGCGGAACAAGAGGAGTGGCGCTGAAGCTGAACTCAGCAAGCATACCTCAAGGCCTTGTGTTCCAAGTTTGACGCGAGGAACTTCCATTTTGCCTTTCAACACTTGAATTTCACGATCTGGCTCATATCAAAACTAATCTCTCAATTTAATTTCTTACTCCAGTGGCCTCCTCACCTACCACGTAGGGTGATTAATTTATTGACCCATGTGACCTACCCACATGTAAAATGTAAGAATAATAATAAAATTAATCTTTCGTCAAAAGCAACGTTTATAAGGAAATATAATGTGTCAAAATAAATAAATAATTATATTACTATAAATTATACATGTTAGACAATGTTGTCTATTATAAAAATAAAATATTAATTTACGTATGTAATATATGTTAGACAATATTTCATTATAAAAACAAAAACGTCACGACATTTACAATGCAGTAATTAACAGATGATATATTTTGGTAATATTAATCCTATGTGTATATTTGAAAGAAATATTTTTACAATAATATAATTTGGACACTAATATACTTTAATATATGTGAAATCTTCACTTGTCTGTATATTAAAAAAAATCTTAATTATATATCATAAAACCAATATACTTAGACAATGTATCACAAATTAATTATGATACAGAATGTTTATTTATGCTCATGCGTTGAACTGTTTATAATTACATGGTATGCGTATATAATTTTTTAAGATAAAATTATAAAAATACTAGAAAACATATATTTAATCATTAATGTAAGTTATGTAAATATTGAGAATAATTTCACATTTAATAATATATTAATTAAAATTAAATAATTAATTTCATGTAATAGTAAATATTTACTTTAATACCATTTAAAATATAGTGATAAATCATATAACAAAATAAATAACAAATCAACAAAGTGCTATTAGAATTTATAATTTTTTTTGGGATACATATCATTTTGCCTAATAGTTTTAGAGAGAAATGTATTAATTATTTTTAATAATACTTATATTTGATTTCATTTAATTATATATATTCTTATTATTAAATATTGATGATAAATTACAATAAATTTCCATTTCTATGCTATGCATCTATTTACTTGTTTGATTTAAATATTATCATAATTTTAATGTAAAATTTTCTTTTTCACATAACTAACATATTTAGTTATGATTTTTTCCTAAGACTACAATTACCCTTTGTCATGCCATTAATTTAAAGATAAAAAAGTTAAAAAGGGTTATGCACTTAGCTACCAAAATAATGTATAATAATAATAATAATAATAATAATAATAATTTAAATACACTTAAATATTTAAATAATTTCATTTCACTTTTCTAAAAGTAGAAAAGTTAATTTTTAACGGTGTCTCTTTAAACTCAATTTTTTTCTTTTTTTATCCTACAATATACATATACTTTCTTTCTTGATATTTCAAATAAACCACATAATTTAAACATGTTAATGACATCAACTTTTCATCTAATTTTAAAAGATAGGGTGATTACCCATTGCAGTACTTGGACATAGCACATATCAAACTATTGTAGTCATAAAAAATATAATTGATCATAATAGAAGTAATATTCTTAACACAATCCACTTGAAATAAATCCTCATACATCTCTATGGGCTTAGACTAGGAATCATAATCAAAACTCTCAAAGATATTTGAGGAGGTATTCACTTCTTTTGGCCTAATCCTAGTGAGGTACTCATTGTCCTTCCATCCAAAGGCAGGTGGTGGTAAATGGGACAAAGGCTCAAAAGACTGAGGTGAGGGGCAACGAACAAAAGGACCCACCTCATCTGAGGTTGGAGGAATCATAAGAAATGGGTTAAGGATGGATGGTAGACTTGATGACCTCAATATCCTTCCACTTGAGAGGTGGACGAGTGGGCTCTATATGAGAAAATATGTTTTGGCCAATATTTGGTGTCTAAAATAAGATTTTGAATTTGTATGAGTGAGCTTCCATCGTTTTGCAAGGGTGCTATAAAAGGTTAGTAAGTGGTGTAGGCACAGGTCTAGAGGTTGATGCTAGGATAGGCATGGGGTCCCTCAAAATCCAGTAAGGGAATATGGATCTTAGCTAGCGCTCTACTCTGTCTGACCTTTGTGGCTCATAGCAACCATCTGTCACAAGGCCTAAACGGAAGGTGATCTCTTGTCGATAAGTGCGCCATGAAGGTTGGGATCATATGTCCAAAGATCTTCCTCCCCGGAATGCAGCTAGATTTTGATTAGTTGTTTGCTCATTTGTGCACGCGCACACACACATATTCAACAAACAACACACAAGGAAGGATATCAAAGCAAATAAGAAGAGTGAGTCCAACATACATAAGAATATTCAAGCAATCAAGATAGTTTTTAACAAGATAATTTTATAAATTAGTATACAGGAGGATTATTCATGAAATCATACTAAAATCACAATTTATCCACATGCTTGATGATGCATGGTACAACTCAGTTATGAATTAGGTTATCATTTATGTTGAATGATGCAATGCATGGATACTCATAATCATACTTCCACATTCTATTTTGATCATCCTTGTCAAAGGCGGTAAGAGGACTCAATTTTCTACTTCATAAAAGCACAATTATTTTATAAATTATTTGTCAACACCTCTCACTTTTAGTACATTATTCTGGAATGGGTCTACTAAGACTCTAGAGATGGGTGCCATTGTCAGAATTGACTAGGGTTTGCTAGCGATGTGACCTACTCGCAATGAACTACTCTGCACCATTGGATTATCTCCCCCTTGTCCACCCCAAAGTTCTCTTAGAACCTGTACACATGCATCCCACAATTCTGCTGTCTATAGCCTCGACAACTCCCTCTTTCAAATGAAATGATGCATGAAGAACATTTATTAATTATTATAATTAGATTACATCCTCGTTACAGCATGATTTCTTCTTGACACATTCGATCACAATTCAAGCTTGACACCCCATGTAAACATATAAGGTTATGCCCTTTCAAACCTAACAATGTCATAGCCTTTTCTTATTTCAACAACTAAAACCAAGCTCTATACATATCCTACACCCACTTTTTTTCTAAGGACACCTTAGTTCAACGATTTAGTTAGGGATGTTTCCTTAGTCTTAACTACTCCTTAGTTCCTATGTCCCTCCTTCTTCTAATTAATTTTGTATATTTAGAATTTGGAGTGTTTCTTCATTATACTACCCTTCAATCTTTCATGTTTTGTCTACACTCTTGATAGTTTACTAAATCTAAGTTATCATCAAAGTTGTTAATTATGTGTTTGTTATACTAGTCTAGTTTTTTTTTTGTTTCATTTCACTGCCCCTCTCAATTATTGCTCTTGTTGCCAAATTCACAATTGGTTTGAGTTTTAGTGCTTTTTACTATGAGTTCTGGTGCACTGTCCTGTTTTTAGGGTCATAGTCTTTATTGTTCACACATTGCTACTTCCCATTTTCTACCTAAATACTATCAATTTTAATGGGGTTGATACTATTAGGACTTAGGTTAATTTTAGAATCATGCTCTCTGTTATTAAATGACAAACTGAACACTTAAAGTTGACATTCTGACAACATGGGCAAGTGTACCCGTCATAAAGTAATAAAGAAGTTCTAAAATAAGTTCCTAAAATATTATCTCAAAATGATTGTTTTCAGTTACCAAGAATTTCTTAATTTAATTGTTTAAACTTAAAGAATGTAAAATTAAAATAAAATTAAAATAGGGTAGCCTCTGACAATAAATTAATCGAGAAGAACCTAGGGCGTATGATTTCACCTTTACACTTTTCTATGTTCACTTTTAGATTAATTTCAATTTTGATTTTCTTATGATTACCAACCACTTATACTAAATCTATTAACACCTAATGATCATGCAATGTTAACACCCAAGAATTTTATCCTCTAAACTTACCTTTTCTTGCTCCCAGGTTTTTAGTAAAAAGGGGAAGCTCCCAAGTTTAGAACAATATAGAGTTGCAGAGAAGATTTCAAGAGTTGAGAGAGAGAAAAACGCAATTCTCTCAAAGTTCAGAAGTAGAAAAAGTGTTGATCTCTATAAACTTTTCTAGGTTCATTCTTTCTCAAGAATGGATAAAAATGTCACTTTGCAAGGGAAAAAAATGAAGTTATAGTCTACTCAAAATTAATATGAATCACATAGAATTAATGTTTTAATGGGAATCTATACAATTACAAATATAAATTTCTCATCACTATTTACTAAACATTTTACACCAAAGGTATCCAAATAATAAAAGAAATTTCTCTAGACAATGGTGAGGGTTTTACACCTTTTATTGGATATCTCTCTTCAAATATTTAACAAAATTGTATTTATTAGGACTCAGATTTAAAACTACAAGTTAATTGAATTCTACCTCCTTTAAAACTTGCAAAAATATTGCATTTTCTGATAAATCTTTTTATTGTTTAATTTTTTTCTCTTTTCTTATTCTCCTTTTACCCCTCATCTAAAAAATTTCATTTTTTTTCTTATTTTTTTCTCCTTTATTTGCCATGGACACACTCACAACTGTTTCTTTCTCTTTCATTTGGATTATAACAAATATTTTCTCTTCCTTTCTTCCTCTTTTTCCTTATCTTTTAACCTTTCATTCATGTTTCCGCAACCTATTCTCCCCTTCAAATTCCTACAAAAACTATATATTTTCTCTTTTTACTTTTTTTTTCTCTATTTTTTATCCTTTATTCATGTCCCCCACAACTCATTTTTTTCAAGAAGAAAGATGAAATTTTTGTTAGAGTTCAAAGGAGGAGAGAAAGAAGAAGAAAAGAAGGAAACATTATAACAAATAATTTTTAATAACAATTTTTATAATTTTTAGTGACAATAAAAATAGTCATTAAAAATTTTACTGGTAAAAAATTATTTGTCATCCAATTTCGGCAAAAATTTTCCTAGCCATTATAAAAATGATGGTAAAAATTTAATTTATTGTCGCTAAAGACCTTAATTTATAATGAAAATTTAAATGGTTACTAAAATTTATTTTTTTATTTGTTTACTAGTTTTTATTATTGCTTGTAAAAATTTAAAATTACTTTTATTAATAATTTATAATATCTTAAATATGAATAATTTGATTAGTAAAAATTT